TCTCTCTCTCTCCAACACCAGTCATACCAACACCTCATTCTCTATCATTCCTCCCATTCTCTCCTTCACTCTCACACCTCATCATGTCTTTTATTGCTAATAGTTCCCAAGTTTGGAATTCCCTTTACTGTCACACCTTTCCACCAATTACAATAGATTATTAATTGCTAAACATTGTATTTTACCTTTTATCACAGAATTAAATGTTTTGTGTATATTTCCATTGACATAATTCACGGTGTTTTAGGTAAGCTTAGTCCCCCATGAGTAACTAGTAGTCTGTCTGTCTGTCTTTGCCTGCCTGTCTGTCTGTCTATATATATACTGTATATAACTAACCACATCATTCGCTTGATATACTAAAAAAAAAAATCACCCAACAAAAATAATGAATTTATTTTCCCTCACATGTATATACCAGAATATATTTGTGTGGTCCTTCAGAAGAAAAAAAATCCATCGTATTTTTTTTTACACAACTAGAATATATTTCCTGTCCACCAGAATAAATTCGCAGCACTTTTGGCGTACCAGAATGTTCATATGAAGCTTTTATTAGCGTGTACCTGGCGGGAGATGGGTCATAAGGGTGTTTATTGCTGCGCCAAGTAGTAGTTAAGCTGTTTAATGGTGAGTGTTTCTCTAGCAAGGAAATGAAAGACCGGAACGCTTGAGCTATTTTGTCTCACCGCCCTTGACATTTGTTTTTATTTTCTTTCTTTCTTTTTTTCAACCTTGACTGCCTTTAAGGTTTTTTTTTTTACTTTTTTTTATTTACTTTTTGTAATTTTTAACTTTTTTATTTTATTTGTTTTTACTTTTTTTACTTTTATCTCGTTTTTCTTTTCTTTCTGGACTTGTTTTCGAGTCGATTCGTGTGTTATAATTTTGTTGTTTTTGTATTGTGTAAATTAAATGTAAGCGCCTTCAATTTTCACTCGAGTTTTATAATAATATATTAATTTTCCCCAGCTCCTTAATTTTTTCCTCACTACCTCACACTTTTTCCCATCTCCTTAATTTTTTCCCCACTACCTCACACTTTTTTCCCCATCTCCCTAATTTTTTCCCCAGCTCTCTAACAATATTTCCCCGCTGCCAAAATTTCTACCCGTTTTATCATATTGATATAATAATCTAAGCGCAGGTTTCATCACTAATATAAATAAAATCCTACGTCATATTAAGTGTGTATTTATTACCTAAAAAAACTCCTATGCTAATTTTTACTAACATAGCTCCACCCCCCCCACACTAGACGTTCTCAAAGCGAGTAGACGGATATTTATGACATTTTTGCCCCTAAATACTCAATAATTCCCACAGGTCTCACCCAAGGAGGCTCGCTTTTATTTTTCAGACCTCCTTCGATCTTACAGTACGAACCTTAACTCTTGACGTATGCCAAGCTCTTTCCTCCTCCTCCTCCTCGCCCACCTTTTAATCCAGGCGCCATATATTTTTTTTTAATTTGATCTATATTCTCTAAGATATTTTATTCCCTCAAGTACAGGAATATATTAAAATGGAATAAATTCATAAAACTTTAAAGGTTGTGTGTGGGTCAGTATATGCTGAGGAAGGATTTTATATCAGGTGATGGTCAAGAAAAGGTCAAACTTCCCGCACTAGTGATTGAGATTTCTAAAAGGAGATTTTTTCCCCACCAGGATGTAACGAATGTGATGGAAAAAAAAAACTAATGTGACTTACATATATGATGGACCAGTGTAGATAATAATGATTTATTCTTTAGTGAGTGGTGGATATATTCTGTTTATAGCATAAGATCTCACCAGCCAAGGTCTCTTAGAATTTCTCACATATTTTATTTTCTATGTTAGAGATCAAGTTTTAAAAAAAATGTAAAAATAAATATTCTTTCAGTTTTCTTTACCAGAGAACGATTGACAGAAATCCTATATTGATTTGCTGACGCAGTTAATATATGTATGTATTCTAGACGCAAATGAAGCAGTATTTCATAATGTTTTGATTAATTTATTTAACCTACGTGAACAGACGAGTCAAAATGTAAATAAACCTGTTTTTTATGTCATCAGTATGCAGCATAGAACACACACACACACACACACACACACACACACACACACACACACACACACACCCTAACCATCATTGAACCTCGGCAATTCTCCCTTAACTGTAAACATCACATAAACACACCAGCGTAGTCACCCCAGCCCCCTCCCCCAGGCTAAATTGGTTCTTTAACGACCTGCACCAATTAATGATTCAGATACGACCTGCTCCTGACACGTTACAGGCAATTAAGCACCGTAAACTATCCCGGTGGTCGCTTGTTAGTTGTACACACCTGACAAGGTCGTTTGTTTCACTGTGGATAATCCCAGTGCGTTTAATTACTGCAGCTTCCATTCACAGTGTCACGGGGTTAAACTTGTGTCATGATATTTTGTGTAGTTTCATTTCTGCTGAGGGTGAGGTGTGTGTGTGTGTGTGTGTGTGTAGGTGTGTGTGTGTGTGTAGTGTGTGTGTGTGTGTGTGTGTGTGTGTGTGTCTGTGTGTGTGTGTGTGTGTGTGTGTGTGAACGTGTGTGTGTGTCATACCAGAGTGTACTTAATATAACTTGTTGATTCGTATATTTTCCGGTGACTTTCCTCTTCTTTATTTATTTTCTTTTATTCCTCTTTCCCCTATTTTCGTAATCTATTCTTCACTGGCATCCCTCCTCCTCCATCCCTCCCTCCTCCACTCCCTCCCTACATCCCTCCCCATCCCTCCCTCCTCCATCCCTCCCTCCCTCCATCCTCCCTCCTCCATCCCTCTCCTCCCTCCACTCCCTCCCTCCATCCCTCCATCCTCCCTCCCTCCATCCCTCCCTCCTCCATCCTCCATCCCTCCCTCCATCACTCCCTCCCTCCATCCCTCCATCCATCCCTCCCTCCATCCCTCCTCTCCATCCTCCTCCCCTCCATCCCTCCCTCCATCACTTTTTCTTTTCACTTTCCCTCTGTCTTCTCTTGTACTTCCTTTTTTATTTCTCTGCCATTTCCTTTCTTCTTATTCCCCTCCTTTTATTTTTTCTCTCTTTCCCCTCTCTCCCTCTCTCTTTTTTCTCCTCCATTTCAATTTCTCTCTCACTCACTCTCACTGTCTCACTCTCACTCACTCTCACTGTCTCACTGTCTCACTCCTTGTTAATAAAAAACAAATTCTTTATGCACAAAGTAAAGGAAAAATGAGTCGACCTGAAAGCCGAGGCACGTACAGTGAGAGTGCGTATGAGTGCGTTTGAGTGTGTGTGTGTGTGTGTGTGTGTGTGTGTGTGTGTGTGTATCACGTTCTGTCACCTGTATATAATGTATGAAATGTTTTTGATATTTTAGGAATACATTAGCCGCTATGAATGCTGTTAAGTGGACGAGTAAGTAAGATAATCTAAACTCCCTTACCCTCCCGTCCACTGATTATTAATACCATACCATTAACATATTTTATTACACCATTTACATTTGTTCTACACGCAAGTAACATGTTAAATCGTGCCACTTGTACAGATATCATTAACATATGTTTGGTATACCAGATAATTAACATATGCTAAACTACGAGACTTAACACAATACCACAGTCACCACTAACCTCACTACGCCATCACCAGCACCATAAAATCACCCACAACACTCCCTTCTACCCTCCCATATCACAATAACTACCACACCACCATCACTAGCGTCACCACACCACCATCACCAACGTCACCACACCACCAACGTCACCACACCACCAGAATCATCTAACCCTATAACCATTTCACCACTATCAACCTAACTATACCTCATCACACACACATTTCTACTAGACCACCATAACCACACCACTTCACCACCCTTGTCATCATCACATCACTAACACCGCCAGAGCAAACAAGACAGACTAGTATATCACATGTTATTGTCACGACTAGACTAAGGCAAATGACATAAGTATCTCTGGCAGTCTGTCCCTCAGTCGCCCACACAGACGTTAAGTTAAGTCTAAACAATGTGGATAGATTTATGGCCGTACATCGGTATATTGCGTCTTATAAAGCACAGCAATACAACGATCTAAGAACAGATACAAAGTCTAATCCTACCCTGAGTACGATGGTAAGTTGGTAAATAAATAATTAATATTCAGTTAGTTTGACCAAGGACAGGTGACAAAGCCAAATGTTTGTTTCCAATAGAATTCTAACCTAACCTAACCAGACCCAATATTGCTATCTTCACTGCTCGGACAAGAAGTAATATTTCCAACGTGTTGTACCAAGATAATAATTGATTGATTGAGTAAAGACTAAGTTAAACTATGGATTAATTCTTTAAAAGTTTATAGTCAATATTAACCTGACAGTTGTGGGGTGGGTGAGGAAGGCCCCTTTGTGACCTCTGTTCTGTAAATCCAATTAGCGTTACCCCTTATACGGTGCATATTGTAGGCACTATGAACTAGTTGTTGTCACTGTAAAAAAAAAAAAATCATATCCACTAAAATTTTACCACCATAACCTCACTACACTACCAAACCCATCGACACCATTTTCCTCACCCCACTAGAAACACCCCTAATCTTACCACACCACCAACACCACACCCCCACCACACCATCACCTCCAAACCCAACAAACACCACACCTTATCCCACCACACTACCAAACCCAACCACACCCTCAACCCAACCACATCAACTCCATCATTTCATTAATTACACGTTATCAACACTACTGCCACCCCCCCCCCCAACCACCACACCGAGTCAGTAGTGCCTCCTATTATTCACCAGCCAGAAACAAGTACCTCCACGCGTCGCCTGAGTGGGCCAGCCTCCACTTGTGCTGACATCTGGAATTGACCACCGAGATTTGCCTTCAGTTCAGCCAACCTCCCTGTCTGTCTACCTGTATATCTGCTGCTTACCTGTACACCATCTTGTCTACATGTCTGTGTGTCTGTACCTCCGTCGAGTCTTACCTTCTCTCGTAGTTAAGACAATCTGGGGTGTCGGTGTAGCAGCCGGGGCGGTACACCTTGACAGTGGCGGTAAAGGCTCGTACGGTAGGCACCTGTACCTTCACCTGTTCCTGACGCTGGTACTCGCACACCTGTGGCCTGCAGAAGGGAGACGAATGGAAGGTTAGTCATCAGAGGTTGGAAAATATTATATAGAGTTGTACTTAAATCGATATACAAATAACATATAAGGAAGAATCACAACCAAAGGTGATATAGGTAAGTTAATCAACACTTTGGACAAAAACTGCCACTCAGGAAAAAAACCCATTAGTATTGTCGCTTACACTTGAAGAGGATGGCAGTAGGTATCGAAATTGTATCGTTTTTGCCTTTATACGAGTAGTATTTCCAAGCATTGTCAACCAGGTTAGGAAAATGTGTAAATTAGGCTGACTAAACCAAAACCAAATTATACCAGTATAAATGATATTGAATATAATCCAAATTATCACCTCCAGTACTGTATCTAAGTTAATTACAAGGTGTTATCAGTATGGCTCAGAGGTAATGTACTCGTGGCTCTTCCTGGTGGAGACGACTTGATGTTATGATGTATTACTGCGTCTCCTACTCAGTCCTAACATCATCTACCCATACGACTGCACCCAGGAGCTTAGTGGTCGTTCCGTTTCCTTCGTCTTCCTCACGCAAAGTTTCATTTCTCTCTCTCTCTCTCTCTCTCTAGAAAAAAAGCCCCCAATAAGCAGACTCCAATACTGGGAACGGAGCCACATGTCCATAATACCGACAGTAAAGTTGCTAGACTCACACGGAAACCAAGATTCACATTAGACACTTAACGTTGATACAGGCATTCAAGTTCCTTCAGTAGCGAGCCTCCAAGTGATCGTCTCTCATGTAGTTTGAGTTTCGAGAGAGCCTTAAGCCTCCTGGTATTATCAATAAATATCCCTGTTGATAAATCTCTCCGACACAACAGCATCAGGCAAGACACGGGCGTCGTTTGTACCGCCGTATCTAACCAACCAATCAAGCTTAAATGGTTAAAACTCCCGCGATAACTCAACCACTCAAGGACCTAGACGTCTTCACCTCATTAGCACGAAGAAATTAGTTAGAACCTTCCACTAATCCGCTAGATAAGTGAATTATAATCCCGGTTAAAAGGAGAGAGAGGAAAATCTGTAGTCTGAAAATGTCTTTACACCTAACCTAACCTAACCTAACATAACATGGAGACGAAAATACAGTATATATGTATAGTTTAAGAGCAACTAAAATGCACTCAAATATAATGGTCTGTTTTCTTAATTAAATCCATCTTTTATAATAAACCTTTAGAGTTTAGACTTTAGACCAATGAATCACCACAACACACGGTAGTTCCCATCTCGACTCTTGATAGCAGAGACACTGAATTATCGACTCTACTGTGGTTGTAGGTTAGGTTAAGTTAGATTAGGTTGGTTTACCACTAAAATCTAGTTACAGTAACCAATAGGATTTCTGTGTGTTGGGGGGATTGTTGAAAGTTAAAGCAAAAACATTTGAGAAATAAGAGAAAGATGTTTTCGTCATTAGGGCGTAAATGTGATAATTTCATTTGTATAATACGACCGATCAATGGAAGAATTAATTGAATTTGAATGATGTGTTTTGACGTCCAAGGGATTTGTAGTCAATTATATTCGCTTTAGTGTAATGTTGTAAACTTAATGTGTTGAGAAGTGAAGGTACGATTATTATTAACGATGCAGCCTCTCTCTCCAGGCCTCACACGTCACCAAGCACCAGGCCCCACACGCCACCATGCACCAGGGCCCACGCCTCACCAAGCACCAGGCCCCACATGTCACCATGCACCAGGCCCCCACACGTCACCAAGCACCAGGCCTCCACGTCACCATGCCCCAGGCCCCACACGTCACCAAGCACCAGGCCTCACACGTCACTGGGGCACCAGGCCCCACACGTCACCATGCACCAGGCTCCCACACGTCACCATGCACCAGGGCCCACGCCTCAGCACCAGGCCTCACACGTCACCAATGCACCAGGCCTCACCAAGCACCAGGTCACGTCACCAAGCACCAGGCCCACACGTCACCATAACCAGGCCCTACACGTCACTAAGCACCAGGCCCCACACGTGGCACCAGGCCCCACACGTCACTCAAGCACCAGGCCCTCACACGTCACCATGCCCCAGGCCCCACACGTCACCAAGCACCAAGCCCCCACACGTCACCAAGCACCAGGCCTCACACATCACCATGCCCCAGGCCCTACACACACACTGGATGACCTAATATATCACCACGCGAGTTAATGAGACAGAAAATGACGAGACGCTTAAGAGTAAAGACTGGGAGAAAAAAAAGTTCTTCACCTGGACAGCAGTAAGTCAGCAACACACGATGGTCAGAAGTAAATCCCTGAGGCTAACTAAAGTGGGATTAAACTAACCCTAGGATTAAATGAGGGGGATAAAACAGGTTAGGATGGTCAAAATTGGGTAACAAAGATAATTATTATAAGTCTGACTCACAAGTGTTAAAAGCTAACAGACAGCAACTTATCCTGATATCGTTTCGGTGTTATTGTAGGAACGATTTACAAAATGAATCAGAACCGAAGAAAATTTGTGATTTTTTTTTTGTACAGTGTTAAAAATAAGTGTTGAAAAAAGTAAATTCCTTCAATTATGTTTCAGGGAAAAGTAACACAAGACATCAAGGTTCATGTAATAATATTAATTTTCTCATCGATGTATGGCAGTGAATAAATTATAAGTAGGTAGGTAGTGGAGGTGTGACGGGTGTCTAATTGATAATTTTGTAGGTAGTGACGCTGTAGCACCTCAGGATTGACGCTAAACATTAATTCATTTAGTAGATATAAACATAATGTTTATACTGATGACGTAACACGGTGAATCTTCCTCACACACTCCTGGATGATAATTAAAATGACGGTCTTTTTATTCATTAGATATTTCCATACTTTATACACAATTAACTTTATTCTATTGTTTATATTATTCACGTCGCTTTTCTTGTTCTGCAGTCCGTGAAAAATAAAGTGGCAAAGCGTTTTTCTAATTCAGCATCTATCAAGCTCCTTACATTACTACCGCTTTTACCTTCACTACACTTCTTATGGTTCCCGGAATAGTTTTAAGTGATGGATAATATAAAGGAGATTGAATGAAAAATAGTTACGTCGTACGCCCGCCAGTAATGATCAACTGGGTCGCGCGAAGTTCAACCGCCCGGGAGAAGCCACACTATTCCCAAACTATCGTACAGCACAGAGTTGGGATTGACTAACTGTAATTAATGCTGTACCGACTATAAGATTGGGTACAGTTGGTGGTACAGGTCAGTATTATCACTTAATTCGGTGAGGGTTTGTGTGGCTTCAAGGTGGCCACACTGTGAAGTTTGTGTGGCTTCAGGATGGCCACATTCTAAGGGTTGTGTGGCCTCGGTGATAAATGTCCTGTCGGTCCTCCTCTCACTCACGAGAATTTAATTTCAGAACAAACTGAAAGGATAAACTGTACAGCTATATTGTATTTGTTTGTTTGTTTAGTCTTGTGTGTGTAAGTGTTTGTTCAGAAGTGTCCATGTCTGTGTTTAAATTTGTTCTTGAGCATGTATGTATGTATGTATGTATGTATGTATGTATGTATGTGTGTGTGTGTATGTATGTATGTATGTATGTATGTATGTATGTGTTCATTTGCCTTCAGGTACCTTGCTCTAATGTATAAATAACTACCAGTCATGTCCTGTACCTAACCTAACCTGACCTAACGTGTCACTTTTAAGCCCATAAGAATTAACTATCTCGTCTCTAATAAGTGGAAATGATTATAATGAAATTATTAGTACAACAATTTAAAAAAAAATATCAATAATGACCAATAATAATAATAATAATAATAATAATAATAATAATAATAATAATAATAATAATAATAATAATAATAATAATAATAATAATACACATATGACTACTTTATCCTTTCTATATAGCACGTGTCTCTCTCTCTCTCTCTCTCTCTCTCTCTCTCTCTCTCCATATATTCCTCATTGCATCTGTTATCTTCTTCTTTCCCTCACTTACTCATTTATTCAGTTTATCAGCCCTTATTCCCATTCGCTAACACAATAACACTGTAGATGATAAACACTGACTAGCTTAAGAAGTGGAAAGGGGGGAGAGGGAGAGAGAGGTGTGTGTGTGTGTGCGTCTGTCTGTGTGTGTGTGTGTCTGTGTGTGTGTGTGCTGCTCTCTCTCTTTAGTATTTACATCGACCACATAATGAGGCCAGTAATGGTGAGGGAAGGAAAGGGGAAGAAAGGGGTGGAAAGGGGAAGGAAAGGGAGTGAGAGAGGGAAGGGAAGTCTTTATGGATCTTGATTTCCGTGAGGACTTGGTGCTGGTGGATGTGTGGTTGGATGTGTGGTTGGATGATGGATGTCTGGTGGGTAGTGGTGGATATCTGGTGGATGATGGATATGTGGTGGGTGGCGGTGGATGTGTGGTGGGGGCTGATGGATGTGTGGTGGGGGCTGGTGGATGTGTTGTGGATGTGTGGTTGGATGATGGATGTGTGGTGGGGGCTGGTAAATGTGTAGTGGATATAAATTGGAATAGTGCTGTAAGGAGGAGAAAAGAAAGACGGATTTTTATATAGGAATGAACATTAGGTTAGGTTAGGTTAGGATAGGATAGGATAGGTTAGGTTAGGATAGGATAGGTTAGGTTAGGATAGGATAGGTTAGGATAGGATAGGTTAGGATAGGTGGTGAAGCTAAGAGATAATAGAGAACCAGGAAGAGTTATACTGAAGGAGGAGGAGGAGGAGGAGGAGGAGGAGGAGGCGGCGGCCCTGGGGAAGACCAAGATTAAGATGGATAGAGGTGGTAGCCAGAGACCCCGGGGGGGTGGAAACGAGAGGAGGCAGTTCAGGACTATGGTGAATGGATGGTGATTATGTGAGAGCCTTGCCTCACTGTATCGTATTGTGAGATTTGGTTATTAATGCAACTATTATCATCTACTACCATTACTGTTTATTACTGTTGTTATATTGTTCTTGTTGTTAGTATTATCACATG